AAAAAAGTCACTTAGGCTTTTAAAAAAGCAATAAAGGGGGGACAGAAGAACAAGAAAGATATAAGAAAAGCAGAAAAAAAAAACAGTAATAAAGCAGATGTAAATCCAACTCTATCAATAATGACATTAAATGTAGATCGATCAAACGAGCCAATCAAAAGGCAAAGACTATCAAATGGACCCAAGCAAACAAACAAAAACCCCACGATCCAACTTTAAGGAGGAGACAGGAGGTGCATTTTGGGTTCAAAGGCACAAATGGACCAAGAGGGTGGAAAAGGTGTATCATACAAAGAGCAGCAGGACGTGAGCTGCAGAGGCTCATACTGATGTCAGACAAAATGGATTTTAACACAAAAAGTGTAATTAAAGATGAAGAGGGATGTTTGATAATGATAAAAGGGCCAACCCATGAGGAAAACACAACAGAGCTCTGAAATACATGAAACAAAGCTGAGGGAAAGAAGAGAGAAACAGAGTCACGCACTAGGAGCTGGAGACGCCAAGACCTCACTTTCCACGTGGTTCTAGCAAACAGACCCAAGCCCAGCAAGGAGACAGGAGACCTGAACTGCAGCACAAACCAGCGAGACCTGTGGGACGTAAGCACACGCTCCACCATGACAGCAGGAAACACATCCTTTTCAAGGCGATGGAAGATTCTCCAGGCTATAAAACAAGCAGGCGCCTAAGGCCATCGCACAAGGAAATGAGAGAGGGCTATGGAAATGGGGCCAAGGCTTGTGGGGGAGGTGATGAGGACCCTGGGTAGATGGGGCAGGTGAGTTGGAGGAAGGTTCTGGAGGTGGGCTAAATACGGAGAGGACTCCCAAGTCCCAGGAGGTGGGTACCAGGGACAGAGACTGGTTCCTGGTGAGGAGTCCCTGCGTACCTGCTCCAGGTGTGGAGGGTGGCGATCATCGGGTGCCATGCTGGACAGTTTGGCTTTGACCCTGATGCCCTGGCAAGTGTCCAGGGGAGGCAAGAGGACTGATTCATTGATGATTGAGGTTTTAGATCTGGTGGTGGTGCCTGGACTGGGTAGTCAGGCTGAGTTTGGGCAGGGAGACCGATAAGAAAAGGCCTCTGCCATGTCCCAGGGAAAGGGAGTGGATTAAAGAGATACTTTCCAAGTCAAAGCCCAGTGTGGAGTCTCAGAACCCGGAATTTGTGGATCTCTAAGAATACCTACACTAGAAAGGAAAGTCTGAATGTGCTAACACAGGTGTCTAATCAAAGGGAACTCCTTTCTCAACTCCAGTGACAGTTGTGAGACTTGGCTACACTGGCGTTTTTAAAAATCTCAGCCCTTTACTTAAAAGTAAATAACCCCTCCATAGTTCTGATTTCTTAATAATGCCAATCTCCACGCTCCGGCTCGATGTCAATTCCCCAAGCACACTTCCTGGCATCTCTGATCAGCCCAGGTGCATCCTCCCTGTGGGTTAGAAGGTGCCACCAGGAAGAACCCACACCTGTCTGTGGAGAGGGGCCAGAGGCTCCCTGTTCCTCCATGGAGAAGTTCAGCCCCTGCTCTGGTTTGGAATGTGCATCCAGCAAGGACAGAGCACTCACACTTCTCTCGAGGTGTCTGAGGTGATATCCAGGGGCAAGAAGCAGCACCTGGTTGTTCAGTTGAGGAACAGGAAGAAAATGGGGGAAGGGGTGCTGGCCAGAACACTGGCCCAGGAGCCTCTGCCCGGGGCAGCCTGTGCCAAAGCCACCCCAGAGGATGGAGCCCCCGGGCCAGTCGGGTCTCCCAAGTGGGAGGACAGCAGCGGCCTGCAGAGCAGCCCCAGCAGGCCGAGCTCTGTGGGGTCCTCCTGACCCCGTCCCGGAGCCCCGACAGCACAGGCCGGCGCCTCCATAGCTCTTGTGCTTAAACCCAGAACCCAAGCAACAGGATCGCCGGGGGCTCTAGAAAACATTGAGCAGGGTGGACGACACTCCAGGGCGCTCCAGGAGAAAGGATTTGGCATCCAAAGGGATTTTGAAAATGGTGAGCTTCTCTAGGTATATTCTCCCCAATAATCCGCAGAAACAACAGTAATCTAAAAATAGTCTTGTTTTCTGTCCTAAGCTCCTTTTAACTTCGTTAGTCATCACCAATCCTTAAAATAAAACCCGTGTAACGTCTCTCCTGGTAGCAGCTATAAACACACCCCGAGAGGAGGCCGAGGACCGAGAGGCGAGGCGAGCGCAGGGCTGCGGCCGCGGGACGGAGGCCGGTGGCCCCGCGGTGGCCGCGGGAGCCGCCCAGGGCGGACACGGGGGCGCGCTGGCCTCGGAGCTGCCGCCGCCTCCGGAACTCCCTGCGCCCTGGCGCACCGCCACCGTGGTCCCGGCAACGGCATTAAACACAGGGAAACAGACGGGGATTCCGTCACCGGGCGGGGGAATAAGGAGGGCATTGAGCACAGACAGGAAAGGAGCTTTTCTGGATGGAGTGAAAATTATTTATGAAAGAGGAGAAGGAGGAGGAGGAGGAGGAGGAGGAGGAGGAGGAAGAGGAAGGGATGAGGAAATGGGGGGAGGTAGAGGAAGAGCAGGGGAGGAGGAAGGGGAGGAGGGAGGAGAGGAGGAGGAGGGGAGGTGGAGGAAGGAGATGGGAGGAGTAAGGGGAGGGGGGAGGAGAGGAGGAGGGGGAGGAGCCCGTGGGCCCGGCGGGCTCCAGGCTCAGGAGCCGGACTGGGCGCGGGTGACGGTGCGGGAGGGGCGGGCAGGAGGGGATGGGAGTCAGTCATTATTTTACTACAACTTGCCTGACCTCCCTACCCGCCTCCCTACCCCAGGTGCGGGGCCACTAGGACCCGCGGCAGCACCCTCTTTGAAGGGGCGGGGCGAGGGCGGCGCGGCCCTGGCGCCCCCTGGCGGCCTCCCACGCAAGATGCGCGCCCCTCCCCCTCCCAGACTCAGCGTCTTCGTCGGGTCCCCCCCAAGCCTCGGGCATCCCGAAGCGGTCCCCCCAGTCTCAGCATCCTCGCAGGGTCCTCCGGGCCTCGGGCATATCCCGAAGGGGTCCCCCAGTCTCAGCATCCTCGTGGAGTCCCCCGGGGCCTCGGGCATCCTGATTGGGTCCCCCCAACTTCAGCATCCTCGTGGGGTCTCCCCGGATCTCAGCGTCCTCGCGAGGTTCCCTCCCACCCCAGCTATGGTATCCACCCGGGGTCACCCTCTCCCTGGGCCTGGGGCACCAAGGCACCTGCCAGGCCCAGTTCACCGAGTGGGAGCAAGTCTTCAGGTGGGGACACCTAGAAAGTGTCCTTACAGCCACCCAGACACCCGTGAGTGCGCGGCGGCCCCGCCCCGCCCCGAACGCCGCCCGGCCAAAGACGTAGGTGGAGAGAGGGATTTCAATTCTGCCCCCAGCGTCCTGGATAACCCTATAGACGGTGGTGGTGACGTGGGCACCGCTTCCGCTGGGCACCGTCCTAGTCCTATTACTAATATGGCACCGATTAACCAGAGAAACTCAGCGGACGGGTCAAATGTTGCACCGCCCCCCCCCCAATTCCTCCAGGCCCCGGGGCGTGGAGGCATCTGGGGCATCCACAGGCGTCCTGCAGGCCTCCTGGGTCCCCGCGGCAGACACAACTTTGCTTTTGGGGGTTATTTGAAACCACATAAGGGTGTCGTGCAATAGATTTATGATTTTTATACACCAGACATTTTAACCGCCCTAACGCTCCAACCCCTTGAATCCAAGGCCAACACGAAAATATGGTCCGGTTTTGGCCCGGGAACTGCGCCGAGGAGAGGCAGGAGGTTTTGAGAAGTGTAAAGTGAACTGGACGGCGTTGGGGAGGCTTTCCCCGAAACCAGCTCTCAATCTCAGACCCCTCCCCCATTGGTTAGAAGCCCCAAAGTCGTGCTTTAAAGTGCCCCAGGCCCTCCCGGGGCGGCCGGGCTAGCGGCTGGGGGCCCGGGAGCGCTGCGCTCTTGGTTCTCCCCGACCTCCCGCCCCCCCCCATCGAGCTCACGCAACAGGCAATCTGGGTCGCTCAGATATTTACAGAGTAAAAATGACAATAACTCCACGTCCCGGGACTGCCATGCAATCTGTTAGTAATTTAGCGGGATGGGAATTTCCTTTCTCGGGCCTGCCAGTGGAAGCGCTTTTCCAAATTTCCACAGCGGGGGAAGCCTGCGATTTTACATAATGACTTCAGCATGCAGGGCTCTCTAGCCCCCCTCGTCTCCTGCTCCTTCCGCCCCCTCATTAAAGCAGAGTGTGACTCCCTTAGGACACGGGCCGGACCCCGGCGTCCGGGCCGGTTCGTTCTCCGGGTGTGCCCAAGTCGCACCCCGTGCGCCCCTGCCCTCCGCGTGCGCCCCCGCCGACCCCCGTGCGCCCCCGCCCTCCGGGTGCGCCCCTGGTCGCCCCCCGTGCACCCCAGCCGCCTCCGGCGCGCCCCCGTCGGCATCGTGAGACGCGGCCCGCCCCCTGTGCGCCCAGCGGGCCGGGCGAGCAGCGGCCCGGCGCGGGGAGGGCAGGCGCTCGGCGACTTGTCCTCCGGGCCCTGCGCCGGCTCGGGCGGGGGCGTGATGTCACGGCAGGGAGGGGGCGCGGGAGCGGCCGGGCCGGCGGGGAGGCGGGGGAGGTGTTTTCCAGCTTTAAAAAGGCAGGAGGCAGAGCGCGGCCCTGCGTCAGAGCGAGACTTAGAGGACTCCGAACTCGCCGGCACAGTCACCGCGCCGGATCCGGCGGCCGGGCGCGGGCACCGGGGCGCGGGAGCACACCTCCAAGCCCCCGCCACCCCGCCACTCCGCCACCAAGCTCGGGTCCCAGGGCCGCAGCTGGGCCCGCCACGCACGCACACGCCCCTCAGTGACAGTTCTCCCGGGCGGGCAGCGCTGAGCCGGGCCCGCGCGCGTCCGCTGGGGAAGAGGTCTGCCTTCCCGGGAGACCTGGCCGGGGCGGCGGCGCCGAGCGCCCGCTCCTCCCGCTCCCCCTCTCGCTCTTCCTGCTCCTCCTGCTCGCCGCCGCCGCCGCCGCGTGGATGCCAAGTACCAGTTTTCCAGTCCCTTCCAAGTTTCCACTCGGCCCTTCGGCTGCAGTCTGCGGGAGCGGAGAAACTTTGGGGCCCGCGCCGCCCTCCGGCGGCACCATGAAGTCGGCGGAGGAAGGTAAGCCGGAGAGGCCGACCCCGCCGCGGGCCCCTGCGCCCCCAGCCCCGAGCCCGCCGCCTGCGCCCCGCGGGGTCCCGGCCCGGGCGGGGCGAGCACGCGCGGCCAGGGTCTGCCGCCGGGAGGGGCGCGGGCGGCGGGCGCGCGGCACAGATTGGGAAGCGGTGTCCCCCTGGTGTTTCCCCAGAGCAGCCCTGATTTCGAGCGCGCCTTCTTGCCAATAGGTGTCTCCTCTTCTCCAGCGCTGAGCGCAGCCTTGCGGCGGATCCGCGGCGGAAACTCAGTTCAAACGCAGGCGGTCTGGGGACCGGGCGAGGTTAGGGCCGTCACAACCACAAGAAACGCTTTGCGATGAAGTGAGGTTTCTTTGGGAATGAAGCCGGGCCGGTTTCTTCCCCAGTGGGGCAAGGCCACCCTGTGGTTTCAGAGACCAGCCACACGACGTGAGGTGGGGGGTCTGCCCTTCCCCGAGCCCTGCTGGTGGCGGAGTCTCTCCCCCTCCCGGGCGCTGTCAGGCTGGTGGCTCGTCCCGCAGGACTAAAGGGCATCAGATGTGCTGTCTGGACACAGCCCCTAATTCAAGCCATTTTGCAACCTCATAGACGTGAGTTCCAGCCGCAGTAAGTGAGTCAGGACAGTGTGAAAAGGGACCGCCAAGTTTCATGCCGCTTGTTTGTAGTCACGAAGGTGCATAAGTGTCCTGAAGCCACTCCTGACAGTGAGTCTTGCAGAGTCCCCTCACCCCACCCACCTGGCTGAGCAGCCTGGAGCACCTCCTGGGTATGCTCCTGCAGGCGTCTGAAAACAGCCTCTGGAAGGGGCAACGGACATCCCGGTTAGGGTTCGGGATAGCAAATGTGCCCCGGAAACTGGGAGACACCTTTCCAAATGCCTCATCAGTGCGGGAGGGTTTTATTTAAATTATTTTAAGAAACCCGGCAAACTTGCCAGTGTGTAGTGAGGACTATTTTCTGAGGGCAGACAGGCTTCTGGGGAGCAGCCGCTTCTGGCACCTTCCTGCTAAGGACCCCCAGTGGCCCTAGAACTGCTCTCCTCCGAGACCCACAGCTTGGAGAAAGTCCCTGTCCCTAACCAGGATGAGCCCCAGGTGTGCCCTCAATAAAAGGAGATCAGTTATTTTCTCCGTATTTTGTATCAGTGAAGGAAGAGCTATGTTTCTTACCATTTCATCCCAGTTTAGGAAATATTTAACTGTAAGCATCAGGTAATATTTATGAGACAAGCTCTTGCTATTAGAACAATTTCTAAAAAATGTGCTGAGGTTTTGGTCTTAACTTCTTGGACACCTTTTTCAAAGTCTGCCCACATATTTTTTAATACTGCTTTAAAAAAATGCACGTCTTTCAAAGTTTAGATTTCTTGATTTGAACAATCGGTGGTCCATCCTGCAATAATCTCTTCTCTTTTACAAGAAAAAAACCATCTATGGGGTGCTGGTGATTCTTCCTGTTTCCTACTTAAGAAAGTGCATTTGAAAGGGCCTCTGCAGAGGTAGCGCCCAGGTGCAATGAGTAAACTCGGTGAATGTGGGGATGTTTTCTAAGAGCTGCAGCATTAGGCAACAGAAAGTGTGATGGAGTCCTTCCCGGACCCAGGCCGAGGGGATGAGAGGCGTGCGGCTCCTGCAGGTCAGCGCCTGCCTGGCCGGGCGCTGGGGGACGTGATCTGTCCTCTCCCCAAGGCCTGACTAAGGCATCAGCTGCCCATGTGAGAATGTGCTCGATGCCCCAGCACTTCCCTCTAATGAGCATCTGGGTTGAAGCTCATTAAGCACTGTTGTTTCTGAAGGCCCTGTGCTTGTTTTTCCGCGTGGAGAATGCAGAGAAATGCAAGGCCTTGTAGGTAGCCACCCACCCACCCATTCCGAGGTTGCTCCACACAGAATGCCCCAGGGCTCTCCAGAGCAGAACAAAGCGCGCTCTGTTCTCCCGACACTTAACTTCATGGCCTTGTTTCCTAATCCAGATTAGAAAAGGCCGTGGTGCTAGCGCCCTGCTCTATCACACCCAGTGCTGGAGCTCTGAGCGCCGTGAACACCCGCAGCCGCTGAGAGGAAGCGCCAAGCTAAACATTTTCATCGGGACAGGAGTGTCTGCTGAATTGGCAGTAGCTCCAAACCTTGTACCAGTTGAAAGGCTCGGCAGTGCTGGCGGTGGGGGGGGGGGTGGTTGCTGGTAAGAGGAGCATTTAGAAAACTGGCCTGTGCGTCTGGCTACTTTGGTTGGGGATCCGAAACCAGGTGGGGGGCAGCTCAGCCTCAGGCAGAGCGGGGGCTGAGCCTCCATATCCCTGTGGCCAGGTGGGAACTGGGTGGGCACCTGTGCATGCGGAAGTGTGAACCCACTTTCTCTCGAACCTTGAACAAAAAGCTGTAGTCTACACTGACGGTAAGGGCTGTTACTTCCATGTAAATTTTTGGTGGGGATTAGAGGCGGCTTCGGGGAAAACAACTGGAAAGAGAAAATGAAGTGCTGCTTTTCAACAGAAACACTCTATTTGCCCGAAGGTCAGCAAAAAGGCTAACTAAAACACAACCCTCCAACATACATCTCAACGTGAGGACTATTATTAGAAACTAAATCAGGCCAAAGTGAACCACAGTTTATCACTGGAGAAAACCAGCCATTTGAACAGGGTCCTGGGAGAGAAGTGTGGCGTGGGGCAGGGGTGCCTCAATGATTTGCCGGTTACTTACTTCCGGAAGGAGCAATACCCACAGAGCCAAAGGGCAGAAGGGAGGGCGCGTGCTCATTGGTAGCAGAGCTGTAGAAATGGACGTCTGTACCACCCTGCTTCTTCTCGTGTCCTGTGAAGTGCCCCCTGCTATTCCAGATGTTGGTGGCACATGGTGCCAAGGCACTGGGGACAGTCAGAACAAACAGCTGGGAGAAAGAACATAAGGCAAGAATTGTGCGGGGGATGGGCCTTTACCCTCCGTTTGCTGTGGCCAGGCTGCTCTGTGTCCTAGCCTTGGGTTTGGATGCCCGCGCACTCAGCCTTTGAAAGCTCTGCAGTTACCTGTGGACATGTAGGAGAGTGGACATGTATTTTAAGAAGTTGCGGGGCCAAAGTGACCGGTGTCACAAGGAAGCGCCCCGGTGGCAGGTGGGCGCTGGCCTGGAAGGAAGACGCCAGAACTCAAAGCGCGGTAGCTGCGGTTGGTCTGTGAGCAACAGCACAGCTCCACAATGCAAAGTCTCCTTTCCAATCCGTATGGGGGACTCCCATTTTCTTGGCACTTTCGGGTGATACGTGTAGCTGTGGGGGCTGGGAAATGGTACGTTGCTTGTTCCAAGTGGGAGGGAGAGCAGCTTATAAAGCCAGCCGGGCTGCCACTGGACTGCGTGTCCGCGCTCGGGCGGACGTGCATGTTGTAGACTCAGGCACCAACCAAGACGCGCTAATTCCTCACTCCACAAGAGGCCCAGCAGTTTGAAAGCCGTTTTGTTTTTTTGTTTTTTTTAACTTTTACATAAATTCAGTAGGCTCCGGTGCAGTCGGCCCTTCGGGAATCAGTCTTGATCTTTGCGCCACTTGGGGCCTCGCGGGTGTGCGGGGCGCGGGCGGGGGTCCCACCCACAGGCTCTCGGCCCGCCCCCCGCCCCCAGGCCGCCGGGGCGCGGGCTGGGGTGCACGTGGACCCCCGGGCGCGGGCGGGGGACACGAGAGAGCCGCGTGCGCCCGGGCTGCCCGGAGAGTTTATTTAAAACTCGGAAGCCGGCGGCCGGCGAGCGGCTTGTTTATGTCAACCCGGAAACAGCAGGGGGGCGGGGGAGGGGCGCGGGGGCGGGGGGGGCGCGGGCGGGAGTCACGTTACCCGGGGACGCGCGGCCCGGCGCCCGGCGTAGCCGAGCCCGGGGCGGCGCGACCACAGGTGCCGGCGGCCGGGGCCGCGACCCGGGCCCCGACCCCGACCCCGACCCCACCGACCCTGACCCGGGGTCCCGGCCCCTGACTAGGCCAGGACCCCGGCCCCCGAAACCCCAGACCCCGACCTGACCCGGCCCGGACCTTGACCCCAGACCCTGGACCCCGAGCCCCTCCGCGGACCCCAACCCCGACCTGCCCCGTACCAACATGACAGGGCTGGAGGAGGACCAGGAGTTCGACTTCGATTTCCTTTTCGAGTTTAACCAGAGCGACGAAGGCACCGCCGCTGCCCCAGGTGGGTCCGCGCGGGGCCTGGGAAAGGAGGGGGCGCGGGCGAGGGGTGCAGGGCCGTTGGAGTGCTGTGTTCAAGCCTGCAGGGCCGGAGGTGCAGGACCCCGGGGGTGCAGGGCTGGGGGTGATGCGGGGTGCAGGGCCTGGGGGATGCAGGGGGCGGGGGTGCGGTTCCCACGTGCAGGATCAGGGGGTGCAGGGACCTGGGGTGGTATCTGGGGTTGGGGTGCAGGGGCCTGAGGTGCAGGGCCCCCCCGGGCTGCAGGGGTCTGGGCCGGGGGGTGCAGGAACCAGATGAAGTCAGGACGGGGGGTGCCCTGCCCCCAGGACACTGGGGAACCTACTAAAAGGGATCCAGTGTAATGGGGAGTTGTGGGTGGCTGGGAAAGGCCAGCACTCTCCTGTGTTGCTCAGTGTGGACTTCGGGGTCAGGAGGTCAGGTCTCCTGCCTGTGGGTCCCACCTGTGTGGGGTCTGTTGAGCAGTCCTGGAGGGGTGTCTCCTCCAGGCTGCTGACACCAGGGGACACAAGTGTCCAAGGCCCTGGACTTGGACACTGTCGAGGGACAGGTGGTGAGCGGCCATTGCCAGAGGGCAGGAGGCCACGGAGCCCCTCCAGACCTGTCCCTGAGCACCCTCGGGCCCCTGGCCCCTCCCAGAAGCAGCGTTAAGTGGAACCAGCCCTCAGGGGCTCGGAGCCCTTTTCTCTTTCATTTTCTCTTCTCTGCAAAAATAAAGGTTTCAGTTAAACAACAAATAAAGGAAACCTCCAGGTTTCTGGAGTGGATGCTCTTGAGTAAGGGTGTGAGCTACCGAATA